CTGGCCCTCCAGATAGGAAATGGAAGTAATCGATCCATCAGGTAGGTAGGGGTGTTGGGGTGGCGAGATGTTAGCTACCTCACGTGGTATACAGGAGTTTGTGGGTTTGAACCCAACCCTTGCTGCCTCTATATTTTGATTTTCCGTGTTCTGGATTAGAAGCCAGTGGCTTGGTCCTGCTCAATGTGAGGGGGGGGGGGGGGGGGGGCAAGGCTGCCCCGTGCATGGCCGTCTTGTGCATTGTGATAGGATTGGCACATGATTGCGATAAACACTCCCCCCCCCCCCCCCCATGTTTTGTGGAAACGTGTCTTGTGTAATGCCTGTCACTTGATATCGAGTGTTCATTGAATTATTTTTCAGTGTTTTTAAAATGGGTTCTTCTGGGTAGCGGCATTCAGCGCGGGTACCAGTGCCGAGCTTGGGAGGAGTTGAATGCCAGAACGCGTCGTCACAGCAGCAATACCTCGCCACGAGGGAAGACACGTTGCGAAAAGACTCGAGAATGACTGCTGAATATCCTCTGTAGGTCTGCGCACCGTGTTTCATTGTGAAAACAATGAAGCATGGCATACTTTGTAACAGTGCACTTGTCGGATGGAAGTAAAACAACATTCCCCTTCCTGCCATAAAACATTTAACGTGATGCCATAAACGTTTAATCTCTGGCCTGGTGAAAAATGCCTCCTAGCTGCTCAACCAATATCTCGTCATGCGAATGCTTAAAAATAAATACGGCCGTTGTAAACCTTGCTCATGTCAAGACCGTGTCAACACTTCATCGTTTACAGCTTTGATGGTGCCGTTTTGTTGCTGGCCGCTTGGGTGCTTCGGGCCTTTGGTCAGCGGCCGCGTTTAATAAAAAAAAACAGTCTGCCATGCACATGCTCTGCATGCCATTCAGCATACGTAGCCAACCCCAGAAAGGTCACGGCTTTTCCCTCGCGATGCTTCCGCTGCCAGGGTCCGTTGCGACGGGGAGGGCCACGCACGTGCTTGGTGAAGTCGCGCTACTTTTGGGTGCCTGTGAGCAAACTTTATCTGGGCTCTTCCATTAAAAATCACAGTTGTACGCTGAGCTGTGAGTTTCGCGTGACAAATTCGCTTGCAAATTGCGTTTTGGCGCACAATCTAGGCCTGTTGACGCACTCGTGCAATGATCACCATAGCAACAGGTCTAGGTTTCACCCGGACATCCCAGAAAGTCAGCACCTGTGTTCAGGTGGCAGGAATTGAGTTTGCGCCGTGGTCTGGTACGCACTTTTGTGGTTGGGCGTTTTGCGGAAGAGACGGGGGGGGGGGGGCACCGTTTGCGGAAGAGGACGTGTCGGGGTTTGGGGGGGGGCGTGTCTGGGTTTGCTTTGTGGAGGGGGAAGGTGGCGACCCTCGGGGGAGGGGGGGGGTGAATCTCTGCACTCCGGGCAGCGAAGGCTGATGGATAATTTGTGCTGCTAATCAGCTGCATATTGATTTTTTGCGCTGTGACGCGTCTATTATCTAAATCTGTGGTACAGACGTCATACTGTGACTTTGTAGTTGCTTTAGAATTCTTGGTTCGTTGTGAGACATTGAAAATGCACTTACTGAAAATGAATTTGTAGGCAAACCACTTATCGTCATCTGATGACAGACAATACTACCTTTCTTCTCCAGAGTAACGTGTTACCTGATCATTATCATCTAGTCTTGTGATTCCCTCAGTTATTTAAACTCATTCCATCTTTTGGAAATTGTAATATTCTGACTAAATCATATTTCATGGCTATAATTCGTAAAAATATTCACAAATCTGGGACATTATGATTTCTAATCACATTATCAGCTACATTTTTCAAACGTGGCTTTTAAATTGCTTTTTGTGAGTGTTTTTTCAACACTCCCATATCAGATTCATAAAACTACAATCTAGAGGTGGCCGGGCAGCCCAGAGATCCGGAGCACCGAGCTGGCACTGCCGAGTCACCACCTGGGTTCGACTCCAGGTAGCCGGGCTCCCAAGCGGAGCGAGTCCGTTGGTCTCGACCGCAGCCTCCGATGACTTTACGCTCAAAACGTTGCACGACCAATTTGAGGTTTTTCATTTACCTTCGCATAAATTCCAGCTCGGGGAAATTAACAGTTGTCAGCTTTACGGGCATGTTTTTTTTTACGGACGTGTAGGTTGGCGGCGGCGGTGTTCAGGAAGAGGTCGATGGAATCGACTTGGGAAGTAGTTCTCTGATGCCACCTGCTTGTGGCTGATGCATTGCCAGCTGTAAGAGAGATCTTAACTACCTCGCCCAGTAAGCAGGAGGTCGCGTGAGTTCGATCCCGACCCTGACGCCTGCTTTATATTGGAGTCTGCGTGTTCTCTCTCCCCGTGGTTGTGTGGATTTTTCTCCGGGTCCTCCGGTTTTTCCCTTCCACATTTATTATCAACACGCATCTAGAGAATTTGTCTGCTATACATTTCCACATGATGATAAGCCACTTCGTTGAGCTATCATTTATGGCCAGGACGCTTCTGACAAAGAGCTACGCAGCTCAATGGGTCTTCCCTGATACAATAAAAAATAGTTTTAAGTCGTTTTAACAGAGATTTCTTCGTCTCTGGAAATAAATTAATCAAAAAGTGATTGTCTAAACATATTAACCAACTCTGATCTCTTGGTGTTCCATGTCATGACGTTGCTGCTGGGTGCTTCGAGGATGGGACGTCTCCATCGCTCTCGCTTCAGCTTCCTTATCTTGAGAAACATCTTTGAATATTAATGTTTTTATCATTGTAATCACCAAGCGTAGTTCGGTTTTCTAGAATGCTTTAATGTCTGAATCACAAGGACGCATCCCCTGGGCTTACAAAAATTAGTTTTTGCTACAAATTTTTTACCATTTGCGTGTGTCCCTAATCTGATTGCAATAAAATTAAGTACAAATTTCTTTTTTACATTTTCACGGTCAGTTATCGGAATAAATCCACCAAACTGGCAGAGAAATGAAACGTATTTATGGAGGAAATCCCATACGCTGTGTCCTCCGCGCAGAGGGGGGCGCGGGCCTTTAGCCGTTGGCGCGCTGTGCACGCTAACAGCTCGCAGGACCCCAGCCCAAGGTGACATTCGGCATCGGACCCTTGAAATGAAGTTCATACGATGAATACGCCTGCGGGAATTAAATATAGGTTTATGCGCACCACTAACTGCTTGGCCCTGCCTCTTAATCACGCCCGCATGCTTGGGGGTGGGAGCGCACGAGCCGACGCGCGGCTTTTAAATGGCACGACGGTGGTGCGACCCTCGCCGCGTGTGGGATCAGACTGCCTGAGCAGCAGTAGCGGTGCAAAGCAGCGCTCGGCTTGTCCACCATGTGACCGTTTGTGCATCCTACTGCTGCGGAAGTTTATCCCTCCGGCCGAGATAAAATGAGTACAGCAGTTCCCTCGGTTTACAATGTCATCGATTAACGATATTTCGATTAACGATCAGCCCTCCCACAGGGGTCCCATTGTCTCTATTAACTAAACGTTTTACGATATCACGCGGCCACCAATTTCGGCCAATCGGAGCGCTCCTTTATGAGCGTTTTGAGCGCAACTGGCTGCGAGATTTTCAATGTCCATCTTCTTAGCCTCAGGCAAGAGTTATTATGCTCTGTGCGCCTTTTTATTCTCTATTCATTATTTTTCCATGTTTATGTTAATGCTTTCATATGTTCTTAGAACATATATTTATACAAGTTGCGTGTTTAAATATTATAAACTTTGCTTTTAGGGTGAAAAAGGCCAACTTCTCATCGTCTGGGAACAATTTGAGTCTTTAACATGTGATTAACGATCAATTCAATTAACGATGGCTTTCGTGTAACCAATCTATATCGTTAACCGAGGGACCACTGTACCAGTTTTCGGGGAAGCCAACAGTGGGTGTGCTTTTGGTGGGTTTGCCCCCATCATAGGAATGTGGAATTTCCACCATAAAATAGGGGATGAGCACCGCCTTCCATGCTCACTTGAGCAGCAGGAATCACTTCGTTTTATTGTCAAGAGAGACCAGAAATAACATTTAATAGTGTGACACCGCGATACTAATTAACGTTTGAAATTGTTTCTAATAAAAAAAGGCCTTTTCCTCTTAAATATTAACTGCCCGTTCCCATTTGCCTTTCCGATTGTGCGATCGGCAGAGGTGGGACAAAGTCATTGTTATGCAAGTCCAAGTCGAGTCTGAAGTCATCAAATTCATGACTCGAGTCTGACTCGAGTCCAAGTCACATGACTCGAGTCCACACCTCAGAGGTGGGACAAAGTCATTGTTATGCAAGTCCAAGTCGAGTCTGAAGTCATCAAATTCATGACTCGAGTCTGACTCGAGTCCAAGTCACATGACTCGAGTCCACACCTCAGAGGTGGGACAAAGTCATTGTTATGCAAGTCCAAGTCGAGTCTGAAGTCATCAAATTCATGACTCGAGTCTGACTCGAGTCCAAGTCACATGACTCGAGTCCACACCTCTGGCGATCGGTATCATGTCGTGTGTCGCGGTGTGTTAGAGAGCGGCCTACAGAAGCAGATGTCACAGAACTGCTGCAAGTGACCTCTGTTCTGTGTCCACAATGGACTGCTGCGCTTTCCCTCACGCTCCGTTGCCGAATATTTTCGTTTGGACGGCTGTCAAACTCAGTCTTAATTCTCAAACATTGGAACTATTGCACATTTAATTGAGAAAAACTCCCTCGTCGTGATGTTTTTCGTGGAGTCGTTAGCGGCCGGGCCGACACCCTTGACACTTTTCATCTGAGGGAAAAAAAAATCGTATTTATTTTATTAGAAGATTAAGTTTTACCCTTTCTGGAAATCAAACAGGTGTTATGATGTTAAAACACCAAATTCAGACAAGGAATCGTGTCTGCATTAACCACGTATACTTGTGGCGAACATGCAAACTAAAAAAACACGCTCTGGTAGTCTCCCAAAGTGCGTCGCTGACATTTCTCACTTTTCGTCGCCGCCGTTCCCTATGCAGAACCCGAAAGACTGCCGCACGGCGCGCAAGCTGGTGTGCAATATCAACAAGGGCTGCGGCTACGGCTGCCAGCTACACCACGTCGTCTACTGCTTCATGATCGCCTACGGCACGCAGCGCACCATGATCCTCGAGTCCAGGGGCTGGCGCTACAGCCCCAAGGGCTTCGAGAAGTTCTTCCAGCCCGTCAGCGAGACGTGCAGGGACCGCTCTGGGAAGAGCACGGGCCACTGGTCCGGTAAGCGGCGGCGTCTCTTGCCGTGTTTCGCTACCCATCGCCACCGCTCGTGAATCGCTGCACTCGCCGCTGCTGCCACCGCTGTAACAGCGCCGCGCGTGGGTTTCCCGTGAATGGGTTTGACACGGGACGAGTGAGAGATGATTGTGTGGATCGCTGTACAGGTGAGTCAGTGGAGTGAGTGGTAATCGTGTGGATCGCTGTGCAGGTGAGTCAGTGGACTGAGTGGTAATCTGTGGATCGCTGTGCAGGTGAGGAAGTGGAGTGAGTGGTAATCGTGTGGATGGCTGTGCAGGTGAGTCAGTGGACTGAGTGGTAATCTGTGGATCGCTGTGCAGGTGAGGAAGTGGAGTGAGTGGTAATCGTGTGGATGGCTGTACAGGTGAGTCAGTGGAGTGAGTGGTAATCGTGTGGATCGCTGAGCGTCCTGTGTTGTCGCTGCGCTTGCAGGGGAGGCGAATGACCGTGACGTGCAGGTCGTGGAGCTGCCGATCGTGGACAGCCTCCACCCCCGGCCCCCGTACCTGCCTCTGGCCGTGCCGGAGGACCTGTGGGAGCGTGTCTCACGCCTGCATGGCGACCCGTCCGTGTGGTGGGTTTCCCAGTTCATCAAGTTCTTGGTGCGACCGCAGCCTCAGCTGGAGCAAGAGATTCAACAAAACGCGGAGAAGATGGGCTTTGAGCATCCCATTGTCGGGTGCGTAAAGCACCGCACCGCACGCAGACAACACGACTCGATGTTTGAACGCGCACACAAGGCGCACATTCCCTCGCGTATTTGTATTCTTGAAATGTATTCGTTTGGTCAAAATATACCAACTAGTTTTTTTAAATGTAGCCCGTAGCCGATAAAATAATAAAACCTCAACCATGCATACGCACAGTTAATGCCGTCTCATTAGAGAATAATAACCGTAGGCTGACATGTCAAGAAATGTTCCTTCAGAGCACAAACTGAGAGCGGAGAGAATGTTTAAATGCGCCTGGTGGCGCTTTAGTACAGTGCGTTTGGGAGATGTTCCGTGCCGATGTCGCTACGGCGGGCGTAGCACAGCGTGCGTGGCCAACGACGACGACGCGACGGGTTGGCACCGCTCACGTCCCCCACGCTTGGTGAGACAAGACAGCAGTTTGTGAACGGCATCGATGTCATCAATAGAGCGTGGATTAAGAGTTACGATCCAGATTTAAAACTGAAATCCAATAGAGGGCGTCAGACTTTGTTAAAGGAAATCAAAACAAAGATTGTTTACGAAAATGTTTGTTCCCATAGGTGAAGTGAATTAAGCTCCGTCTGATCCAGCTGCCTGAAACAAACGCGCGTTCACCCCCGTCTCACTTGTCAATCACTGCATGACGAGAGGAACCGATTCCACACCACCACGGCCTACAGTCTGCCTCGTTTTTGCTCCGGCGCCTTACTTATGAGTCATTTCCGTTTGTCGGTGAACACCGTTGAGGGGGGGGGGCGAGTGGCGGGGGTGAATCGTCAGTCGATTTTCCAGAAAACCCTTCCCAATTTAGGGTGGCGGCTGCGTCTTAGCGAGAGCCGGCGCATCCGGGGGCACGCACTGATGGGCCTGTGCACGTCTGCAGGGTTCACGTGCGTCGCACGGACAAGGTGGGCACGGAGGCGGCCTTCCACGCCATCGAGGAGTACATGAGCCACGTGGAGGAGCACTTCGAGCTGGCTCGCAGCGCCCCGGTGGAGGTGAAGCGTGTCTACCTGGCCACCGACGACCCGGGCCTGCTCGCCGAGGCCAAAGCCAAGTACGTGGCCCCCTCGAGCGCGCGCGCGCCCCTTCCGTGGGCCACTCCCGCTCGGAAGGGCCCACTTCCCTGAGTGAATAACGTTCGTCGTTCGCGGTCCGTTGTTGATCTGCTGCTAGAAGAAGCCCCCTCCCGACGTGCGACAAAGTCATCGTCGGCATTGTCGCAGATAATTTATGTACTGAAGTAAACAAGCGAACAAAACGCCAACTTCCCGTATATTTTTTCTCCACGTAAAACATGAAGGTTAACAGAACTCCAATAATCCACGCTCCACTAATCCGTGAATCCCCATAATTTGCGGATTATTGGCGGATTGCGACTCCTCCCGTAATCCGCAGCGCACGGCGGTCGGTTGGAAAACGCTTCGCGGACCGCAACCCACGACCCGTGGATGTTGGCGGGTTATCATGGAACTGCAGGAGCGGAGCTGCAGGGAACACACGAGGGGGAAGCTTTTTTATTTTATTTTTTGAGAAATTTTACTTTTTTGTTTTGCATCAACACGGACGAGCTGTGCTAACACGCATTGTTCCGGAGAGAATATTTTAGCTTTTTATTTTAAAAAATTACTTGAAAATAATGTATTCCTTTGCACATCCTAAGCCTCTTACTCGCGTGTTTGTGTGCGTCCACTGCAGGTACCCGAGTTACGTGTTCATCAGCGATAACGCCATCTCGCGCTCGGCCGGCCTGCAGAACCGCTACTCGGAGCAGTCCCTCATCGGAGTCATAATGGACGTGCACTTCCTGGCACACAGCGACTTCCTCGTCTGCACCTCTCCTCCCAGGTGACCCCGACGCTCTGTGGCCACGCGCTCGGCTCGCCCGTGCGAACGCGACCGTCACACGATTTGTTGCTGACCGAGCGTCCCTCTCAAGAGCGCTGCACACGCGACAAGCAACTCGCGGTCGCGCCTCCCATTAACACGGTTGGCTACGAACGGTGCGAAAGAAGTTCAATATTAATGCGTAGATCGCAGCTCACACGTTTGAAAGGGCACTCCCAGTTGCAGCCTTCCGTGTGCGACGCACGATAATTCGGTACCTCGCTTGCAAGGTGGGGCATTAGACTCCCGTTCAGAGGCGATGATTGCTTTGTGCATCCTAGCCACTTGACTTCTCAACTTGGTTTTACAAAAAAACTGAAACTAAACTCATAAAATTTCTCCACGTAAATTACACCATGGACACATTTCTTTTATATGGCGTTTGGGAAGAGCAACTGACAAAAGCACTGCAACTGCATGTGCAGTCTGGTCACCAATTCGATGGCATCAGTGTAGTTTCATGCAGAGTGTTCGCACCTCCCGTGAGAGCGAATAACGGGCGACGCTCGGTTACGCGATCAGCGGATGGCACGTTCATAAGAGGCCAACTGTCCCACTTGTGAAAGAATTGGCTTCACCTGCCATGGGTTTCCATGCACACCACCGTGGTAGCACCGCTTGCAGTCGAAGAGCAATGCAATCATTGAACGCGAGCGAAACTCGCGCGTGATTCTGAAACGCTTCCCAACGTTGTAGAAGTTCGCGGTTTGAATCCAACGTCCGTCCTGGTTAATACTTGCAGGCGTATTAACCGTACACCCGCAAGTATTCACCATAGACCCGTACCTCGGATTAGCACAGTTGGCTACATACGGTGCAAAATAAGTTGAACATACATCCATAAAAATACGCACTATCTGCTTTATGGTACATGCTAAAAATTTGGCAAATTTGAAAAATTGCACTGTAGATTTCTCATTTTGAATTTACATAGCAATCATCGTCCTGTGCTGATAAAACTTTGCAGGATCCTCTTGAAAAAAGAGTTGGGGGGAGTCGGGTTTTTGTGGCTAGGCTTCTTCTTTTGCATGACAGGAGGGAAAAGCACGGTGATTAAACAGGTTAAGAGTTGAACACTTCAGTGTTTTCCAACCAATCCGAGGAGGAGGCAGCAGTAGACGCTATGTGGGTAGCAGCGACACTGCCGGGACACTCCACGGATGGCGCGGTCCATCGACGATGCCTTTTGATGGCTTAGACTTCACCACAGCCGCAGTTCGGCGATTCTGCGATCTTCCGTTTGCCGATGTCTGAGCGCGGTGTGGCGAGGACCACGGTCGTCGTGGGAGAGAGAAGCCGGAGGCGCTTCCACCCTCGCATCCTCCACGAGGTGTTTGTGCTGCCACGCCCAGCCCACCATCCCGTGCGGCGAGTGCCGATGTCTTCTTTTTCGACTGCTCGGGGCGGAGGCGGCGGTCAGAAAGGTTACCTGGATGTCAGCCGATGGCGTGGCTCTTCGAGGCCTTGTCGGGCTGCGGAGCGATGTGTCCGTATCTGTGGTACTACTCCCGG